TTTCATTATCTAGTAGTAACCAGTAGGATTTCATATCAACCAATGATTGATTGCAAACTGGACAAGTGTTTAACCTAAATAAAGTAATTAGCTTTTAAAAGCAAACTAAAGAAAATCTATTTTTAAAAGCAAATAAAACAAATTTATTTACTTAACAGAACCATATCATAAGAATGTATACTGATCCGATCTAGAGTTATGAAAAAATGTAAGGTAGTGCTCCTAATTATCTATTAAAAACTATTATTAAAAATTAGAAGAACCATTTTATTATGGTATTTTTATATTGGTATAATTAGTTGGTAGAAGAACCTTTTTCTGTATAAAAACCATAATTTCAGCAGCTCTTTAAACAACTTAAGTTAGGTTACTTGAGCTTAACTTGAGCGGTTTTTTGAAAATTATTAAAACCTCAAATGATTAATTAAAACACATGCTAGACCAAAAAAGTAACATGACATGTGATAATATTAAAATTAAGTTTTTATTAAATAATTTAAAAATACATTAACTTGTTTGAGTTTTTTTGTTGAAATTTTTTTGCTTAGTTTACAAATAAAATGGTAAATATAAAATCAAAAAAGAAATAAAAGTTTTTTTACTTTTCTAAACATTTTTCTCAGTTTAAATGTTATTTGAAAGTATTAGGAAAATGTGTTCAAAAAGCTATAGCCATTTTTGTACAAGAGGTAACTTGTGGAAAAAAAAAAAGAAGCTCAACATGGCTGAGTACTCTGATAATGTTTAATTATGTACAACGTAAACAAAGCAGCCAGCAACGCCACTATTTGCTAATGCTGTTAATTAATCAAAAAAAGCAATTTAAAAACTGCATACTTTATAAGACAATACATATGTATATCTGAACATATGTTAGACCATATCTTAAACTCACAGTTTCAGTGTGAAATCCTCTGCGTACCTTCTATAGCTAATTACTAACACAAATTTTATAAAAAGTTAATTTGTTTGTCCATCAACATTTGCAATGTCCATCAACATTTGCCTAAGTGAATTTCACCATTTCTATGGTAATGCCATAATTAGCTTGTTTAACTTAAAAAAACACCCTTAAGTGAATCATCAAGAAAGCTGCTTTACTTCCTGAATAAAAAAATAACTTAAAAACTAAAAATTAAAAAAAAAGGTTTAATATTCTCTTGATGTACTATAACTTTTTGATGTTACTATAACAACATAAAAACGTTATAATAACAACATAACTCAACCAGTAGCTATAATTTGAAATATGAAATGTGAAATCTTTGATTGAACAAATATCTCATAAATATTTTTATAAAAATTGAGATAATGCCTTCAATAGAAACAAAAAATAAATAAATAAATATAAAAAATAACCCATGTTTAAACATTCCATCCATGCAACTACTAAAAAAAAAAACAAAAGATAAATTTATATAAGGCAGAACAAAAACAACAATAACAACATAAAATGATTTAAAAAAAATAAAAACCTATGAAGAAGATGAGTGCATGGAGGAACATGAATAGCTCTTCTAGAGGTATGTACATCCTACACATAATTAAAAACATTGACTTAAAAATCACATCAAATTTAATTAACACATACTACTTTTTACTAAAACATGGTTAGTAACAAAAAAAATGGCAGTAACAAAAGGGTAGTAAACAAAATTAAAAAAAAAAAAAAAAAAAAATGCTTAAATTATCAGTTGAGTTGCAAATTCATTCATTACTAGTTGCATATATGAACGTTCAATATATATAGATATATATTAGTTATATTATATATATATATATATATATATATATATATATATATATATATATATATATATATATATATATATATATATATATATATATATATATATTATATAATAGTTCAAAGAATATATGCGTATTATAAAATAACAGCAAAATTCAAAGTTTTTAAATATTATGCATATCAGATACATAAATAGCAGAGCTTAACAGAAAAATGCTCAATAATTGAGCATTTAACCCAAAACTTTTTATTTCCATTATCAATTTGTAAGAAATTTATTAAAAAAGGGTCAAAAAACAAGACTTGGGAATTTAATGTTTTTAAAGAAGTGTGAATTTTTAAATTTAAAATAACTAAAAATTAAGTATACCTCAAGACAAACTGGGCAATTTCGATGAGAAACATTCTCTAGACACTATAAGAAATATAAAAGCCATTAATCTAACTATTTATAAAATAAATTATATATTACTATACAAGACATTATTACCCTATGACTGTCCATTATATTGATCCCCATGCACATTCCACATTTATTACAATGGAAAAAGTTTTCTCTGCCACCAATTCTAAAAATAAACATCTTAAAATAATAAAAGTTTAAAATACATATTTCTGCAAAAATTTAAAAACAAGTTTTTAAAAAAGAAAAAGGGACAAAATGCATAAAATATATGATTAAGTTTTCTTTGAAAAGTAAGAATATAAGTTATATAAAACAGATTTTTGATTTGACCTTGCACTGAGCAGTTAAAGTACAGTTATTGGGTTGATGCTTTTACATATGTTTATTGAGTTTTTAAATTTTATAAATTTTTAAAAGTAACTGATTTGAGAAAAATTTTGTTCAAAAAAAAAAATCTTCAACTTTCTTTCTGATATTGATGGACAAGTTGCAATAATATCAAGGTATCACTAAGGTGCTGCATTAACACATAACTCCCTTGGTTTCTAAAACTTCAACCATATTTTCCAGCAATACATATTTTTATCAAACACTAATTCTAGGTATTTTTGATTTTTTAAAGCACAACTAATGATTCCATATATTGATATGAAAGTTGGACTTATTATATTATATAATATGGTTAACACAAGCTAACTAATAACTTGAGTGCTAAACACACACACACACAAATATATATATATATATATATATATATATATATATATATATATATATATATATATATATATATATATATATATATATATATATATATATATATATATATATATATATATATGGTGTCAGGTCTATATATATATATATATGTCTATATATATATATATGGTGTATATATATGGTGTATATATATATATGGTGTATATATATATATAGGTCTATATATATATATGGTGTCAGGTCATATATATATATATATATGGTGTCAGGTGGTGTCAGGTCAGGAGTATGGTCTTCATGATCATCCTGCTACTGGTAACATGTAACCCAGTGCAACCTGTTCCATGTTCTGCTGCCTTGCAGGATTTGCTATCTAAGCAAAGGCTGGAAGGAGTGTTCTTCCTGTCATCAGTACTATCTTATATCAGTCATGCCTATAGTAATTTTTTTTTTTTTTTCTCCCCATATAATTGGAGGTGCCTTAGTTACTGTATTAGCTCACCTGTAATCTACGTTATATGTATGTTTGTGTTCTGTCTGAACCTCTGGCGCTGTGTTCGCTCACCCGTAAGTTACTTTATGTTCTTTATATATGTCTGTGTTCTGTCTGAACCTCTGGCGCAGTGTTCGCTCACCCGTAAGTTACTTTATGTTTATGTTTATGTTTTTGATGTTTTTTTATGTATGTTTGTGTTCTGTCTGAACCTCTGGCGCGGTGTTCGCTCACCCGTAAGTTACTTTATGTTTATGTTTATGTTTTTGATGTGTTTTTTATGTATGTTTGTGTTCTGTCTGAACCTCTGGCGCGGTGTTGACTCACCGGTAAGTTGATTTATGTTTGTTTGTGTTCTGTTTATACTCTAATGCAGCGTGAGCTCAGTAACTAACTACTTACTCCAACTACAAAACGTACACTCACCTTAGGCTCCTGTATTTTGTTAGATGCAGTGTTTTTCCTTATGCACTTCCAAAATGTCATGCCTGGTTTTCTCAAAGTACTGTTGCGGGAAGTAGCTCCTTTTAACTACTCCAGGTCAGGTCAGGATAATCGAGATCAACCTTGCTACTGGTATCACCTAACCCAGTACCACCTGCCACAAGCCCTGCTGCCTTGCAGAGTGTGCTCTTCTTATGCAAAGGCTAGGAGAAATAAACTCCGACTAAAAATTCCCCTGCCTTGGGGCTCTTGGTTGAGTAAAGGCTAGAGATGGTGTCTCGATAAAAACACTCATCTTGGGCAGATGTTAACTGCATCCAGCTAAACATCCCCTGCCTTGGGGCTCTTGGTTGAGTAAAGACAAGAGATGGTGTCTCAATAAAAATACTCATCTTGGGCAGATGTTAACTGCATCCAGCAACTGTCTTGTAGAAGGCCTCCTAGGCAAAGACTTTAGGGGTAAGCAGAAAAATTCTGCTAACCAGCCTCAAACCCCTTCTTCATCTATTAGGCTGGCGTAGATGTAACCTGTGTTACATTGTTTCCTGCCTAGGATGATGAATGCTGGATCTCCTTGACTCTACTCATAGAATTTTGCTTATGCCTCCTTGATAATGGCTATGCAACTCTTCCTGTTATCTCCATATGAGGGTACAGCTCTAAAACTCAGTTTAACGGTTCTGAGGCCGGCTGGTAGTAAGGTTTCCTGAACTCTGTGGTAGCTCTCAGAGAGGCTGATTCCATCAACAGCTGCAAAATATCAGAGTATTAACAGTGCCATGTTGCGCATGGATGGTGTCCCTGTTAATGCTTTTGGTGTCACGGCTTAGGGTTAATTAACAGGACTGAGACAACTGCATAGCTCATTGATTAGGAGGCTGTGCTCTATCTATGAATGAGTCAAGTTCTCATAAAACCCAAATCATGACCAAAGTAACCAAAAAGTAAAACCTAAAAAACCATCCCCACCACCTAAATATTTTAATATATCTTTTACAAATATTCGCGGTCTACGAAGCAACTTTCCATCAGTTGAGTCTTACCTCCTGCAAAATTCACCAGACTTGCTTGCACTCAGTGAAACAAATTTAAGTTCTGCAATTCCTTCTTCAGATGTCAGTGTTGATAGGTACTATCCTTTGATTCGTAAAGACTCCAATAGTCACATGCTAGGTTTAGGGGTATACATACGCATTAATTCCCCTATTTGTCGTGAAATCAGGTTCGAATCCTTTGACCATTCTTTTATGTGCTTTCGCCTAGCACCTCTTCACTCTATCACCTTTCTCTTTGTTCTTTATCGTTCTCCTTCTTCCCATGATTGCATTCTTTTAGATGTTATCTCTGATCAAATTGACCATGCCCTCTCTCTTTACCCCTCTGCCAATATTGTTGTTGTTGGTGATTTTCATGCCCATCACACTGAATGGCTTGGCTCTAACACCACTGATCCTGCTGGCACTAAAGCCTTTAACTTCTGCGTTTCTCAATCTCTTACTCAGATAGTAACTTTGTGACTCGTTTTCCTTAACTTTGTGACTCGTTTTCCTGACAACCCTAATCATTTATCTTCACTCCTTGACTTATGTCTTGTCTCTGACCCTAGCTTATGCTCAGTTTCTCCCTTTTCTCCCTTAGGTGGTTCTGACCATGCAATGATCTCTATAAATCTTTCTTCTCGTACTTCTTTTTTGGGCTCACCTTATCATCGCACCACCTACTACTACCCTAAAGCTGATTAGGATTCCTTTCGTGATTTTCTTCATGATGGTCCTTGGGCTGATGTTTTTTCTCTCTCAGCTGACAAATGTGCCTCCTATGTAACCTCCTGGATTCAGGCTGGAATGGAAGCTTTAATTCCTTCTCGTCGGTTTCAAGTCAAGCCTCACTCTACTCCATGGTTTTCTCCTTCTTGTAAGGCTGCTATATCCAATCGTAACCATTTTTTTCATCTTTTTCAAAAGAACAACTCTCTTGAGAACAAACGGCTATTTATTATTGCAAGAAATCGATGTAAAAAGGTGCTTTCTGATGCTAAACTCCATTATTCTCAGTTCACTAAATCTCGCATCTTATCGCAGAAGTTAGGCTCTAAAGACTTTTGGAAAATCTTCAACAGCATTGTTAACAAGGGTAGATCTAACATTCCATCTCTCATTCATGGGACTGATCTTGTTACCTCTCCCAGGGATAAGGCAGAACTGTTTGCAAAGAACTTTTCTTCTAATTCCACTCTTGAATCTTATGGACATTCTCTTCCTTCCATTCCAGTCAAACAGGTTGACCCATTGTTAGACATTCAAATCACTCCGGCTTCTGTTGCTAAAGTCATATCTCAATTAAACTCGTCTACAGCTTGTGGTCCAGACAACATTCCTGTCACAGTCTTGCAGAATTGTTCTCCAGAACTTTCTTCAATTCTCTCTAAACTATTTAACAAGTGTTTGACTGAGTCTTGTTTTCCTGCTTGTTGGAAAATGGCATCTGTGGTTCCAATATTCAAAAACTCTGGAGAAAATTCTGACCCCTCCAATTATCGTCCGATCAGTCTTCTTTCTGTTATTAGCAAGGTCTTTGAGTCTTTAACCAACAAATTCCTCACATCTCATCTTGAGTCAAATAAACTGCTATCAGACAATCAATACGGTTTTCGATCCTCTCGCTCTACGGCCGACTTGCTAACTGCTGTAACTGAAAGATTTTATCGTGCATTAGATAGAGGCGGTGAGGCTAGGGCTATTACTCTCGACATATCTAAAGCTTTCGACAAAGTTTGGCATGCTGGTCTTCTCCATAAGCTTGCTTCATATGGTGTTTCTGGGAAAGTTTTTGAGATTATCAAATCATTTCTTTCTGACCGGTTTATTAAAGTCATCCTTGAAGGCCAACACTCTTCTTTATTTCCAGTAACTTCTGGGGTTCCCCAAGGTTCCATCCTGGGCCCTGTTTTGTTTCTTATCTACATAAACGATCTTCCTGACAACCTTTCATCTAAAGTAGCTCTTTTTGCTGATGATTCAACTTTATACTCCTGTCTTGACAAAAAGTCTTCTCTTTTCGATCGCCTAGAACAAGCAGCTGATCTTGAATCTGATCTCACTTCAGTAATAGATTGGGGTTCACAGTGGCTTGTGAATTTCAACTCTAAAAAAACCCAATTGCTTACTGCAAACAACTACCGTAATATGGTCAACATTCCTATATTAATGAATGGCAATCCTCTTACTGAGTCGTCCTCTTTACGTCTTCTTGGATTATTGCTTACTACTGACCTTTCATGGAAACCATATATACAATCGATTGCTAAATTAGCTTCTGCTAAGGTTGCTTCTCTTTATCGTGCTCGCCATTTCCTTACTTCTGATTCCATTCTCTACCTCTACAAATCTCTTATTTGTCCTGTATGGAATACTGTTGTCATATTAGGGCTGGTTCTTCAAACGATTCACTTTCTCTTCTTGACAAGGTCCAAAAACGCATTGTAAATGTTGTTGGACCTGGACTAT